ATAGAAACTGGTCTTGTGGATCATTTAATTAGTATGAATATAATGGATGATGTTGTTGTGTATGTTGGAAAACCATTGAATGGTAAGAATATAAAAAGTATGGGCATCATTGAGAAGGTTCAGGTTAAACCAAGCATACTTACAGATTGGGACAGTCTAAAGAATAAAAGGATGATTGTTGATGGATATCCTTTTTTCACAAAGATTGATCCACCATAAGTGGTAGAGAAGTATCTCAAAATGCTTGAAGCTGAAGGCTATGACTTGTCTGGATTTTCTTATAAGGATATTTCGGACGCTCCTCCTATTCTTCTGAAAAGGAAACATGAATCGTCTCGGAAGAAGTTTGAGAAGAAGAAGAAGAAACTAAATATGGGAGAATCTGGAAAATCTCAGAAGTTTTTCGCACTTGCCTCCTATCCAGCACCTTCGAGTAAGTATTATGACTCTAAATATGTTGCCTCTGGTTCTGATAATAAAACTATTACTTCATCAATACCTCAACCTCCTCCACTTATTTCAACCATATTTATAACTACATCTACCCCACCTTCACCATATATTGTTTCAGCTCTTAGAAAATCCAAAGTGCCACCCACACCACCTCAATCAACCATCCCCCAAACAACACAAATTTCTGAAACCATCCCCCTAAAAAAAACTTCTGAAACCATTCCACAAATAACAATAATTTCTGAAACTTTCATCCCAACAACCACTTCCACCACAGTAGCATATGAATCCCTAATTTCATTTTCGTTCTCATCTGCCACTAAAACTACCTCCACACCTTTCCCAAATACTTTCTTCTTAATTACCACTTTACCAATCTCTAAAAACTTTGCTTCAGAACCTATACATACCTCAAAACCTATACCTCTCTCTATCTCTACAACCAACACAACTTTAACACTCCAAGCTTTCACCAACATCTATGAACATTCTGACCCTAACTCACCTAATCTAAACATAGTCCAAACCTTGGCCAATGACTATGACAAAACCCCTTCCGATAGTTCTGACTCTGATGAAGAAACTTATTCTGATCATCACACCTCTAACCTTCAAACTCTCAGCCTAAACCTTGATGAGGTAATTTCTAGTTTCAAGGATAATTCAGAAAGGAGAGTGAAGAAGCTCTACGAAGAGTCCAACTCTAGCAATAACCCTTCTCATCTGGGTGCTAGCTGGAATCGGTTTAACAGATAGATGTCAGTTGACTTCTACAAAATCAAAAATTTTCTCTATCCAAGTCAAAGATAAATTTGGCAAGGAAGTTGAAGAGAGGTTAAAATCTCAGAAGGCCGCTGGGAGAGAAGTTGCCAAGAGAGAATCTGCTGAAGCTGCTAAAAGAGAAGCCATAGAGAGAGAGGCTGTAGAACAAGAAGCTGCTAGAAAGGCAACTGCAAAAGGTTCTGATAAGACACTTACTTCTGAAGCTGGTCTTTTCTCTCTCATGATGAAGACTCTAGAAGAGATAAAGAAAAAACAACAGTTGGTCAGAACCAGACTCGACAAGCAAGATAAAGTCAATAACAACATTCAAAACTTGCTTGCTCAACTTGTTTATAGGACCCCCCATCCTTTTCAACCTTAGGCACCTTTAGCTTTCTTTTATGTTGTGTTCTAGGTTGTTTTTCTCACCTGTACCGTTTTACTTCATCTTTAATATAATATAACTTTTTGATTATGACAAAAAGGAGGAGTATAATAAGTGATGATTTTGATACATATCTGATTCTCTAAATCTCATTGCTTACATTCTAACTATATATATACTCTAAAAGTAGCTTCTGGATCAAGCTCTGATAAAGTATTACAAAATGTTCTAATAGTCCGAGCTCTGACCAATCGACCAGGTTCTGATATCCCATATATGTTAAGATCGTTATAAGACAACCAGGTTCTGACTTAAGGGGGGCTTGTTTATCTCAGGGGGAGTTCTCTAACTTAACTCTGATGAAATTTTTGCAATTCTGATAATTTTTGCATATAGTCTCGTACACATTGTTCCATCAAAATACATGATTTTGTCATAATCAAAAGTGGGGAGATTCGCAGAACAAGATTTTGGTTCTGCATATAATCTCTAGTTTTGATGATAACAATGCATATATTTTATATATAACAATTTTGTACTCTAATAATTTTTTTGAAGTGTGCAGATATAAAGTTTAAATTGATTTTGGATAACTCTCTAGAAATCTCATCAAAATCAAATCTTGGCACACTTTAAGAAATTAATTCGACAACATTTGAAGAAACATCAACAATTCTAATGAATGCTGAATGACTCTGAAGAAAAATAAAGTTATGTGCTTCTCAGATAAGCTTTGCTTCCAGCTCTGGAGTCAAAGTGTTGGGTTCTAAAAATCTGTCATTCCTCTTATGATATTATGGCTTTGACAAAATCATTCTAAGAAGACTTAAGTGAAGACAACTTCTGACTCTGAAGACTCTGATACTTCTCAACACATTTATCTTTTGGACTCATCATCACTTCACATTAGATAAATTTCGTCAAAAGATAAGAACAAAATAAAACTTGCACTAAAAAAATTCGTATAACAGTACAATCCTAATTTTGTAAAAACTGATTGTGCGCTAATACTATTAAGGAATGTTTGTGAGACCTTACTACTCTTGTGTCCTACTGGCACTGATAGTGGCATCTGTACCCTCCAATGTTCAACCATTGAGCCTATATGAAGAAGTCACTACTTCACTACAAAGAACAACAAAAAAGAACAACATTAAAAGAGTGAAAAAGTAAAGTCTCAAAATCATATCCTAGTATTCTTAAACACAAAGAGTTGTTGCTCATATTTGTGTATTGATCTTAATTTGTTTCATTCGCTTTTTAGAAGCACCATTGTGAACACTTTCTTTGTAATTTCTTTGATATTATTTTTTCCTCAAGTGACTAAGTGTTAGTCTGTATACTTGAGAGGGCTAAGGTGTTTTCTAACACTTAGACGAAATTTTTGTAATCTTTTAAGATTAGTGGATTAAGTCCTTATTGAAGGCGAAATCATCTTGGCGGATGGACAAGACGTAGCCTCGTTATAAGAGAACTTGTATAAACCAAACGTGTCACTTTGCTTCTTGGTTTATATATCTTGTTTGTGTGTGTAAAGCATTCCTATCTAAAAAGGTTTGAAAACCCCAATTCAAATCCTCTTTGTTGTATTTTTCTCTACCTTCAAGTACATGTTGTTGCAAACTTTTATTGATGGGACCTCCTCGACCTTTCACTATGCTTCCAACAGTTTGAACAACTAACTCTATCACTTCACCTCTATCTTCTGTTCCTTTAGTGATTGTTCTCACCCTTTCTTCTTGATTCAGAGTTGAATAAACACGACCGTACAGCGCCACAGGCAACATCATCCAATCCCATGAAAAATTGATGTACCTTTCCTTTTTCTTCATGCTTATCTAATTTAGATGCAATATTACATTTTCATCCATCACAACTACAAACAAGAATTTCTCATAGCTGCCCAACTCATCCCATAAGGGTTTCAACTTTCCATAATATGTCACCACCCTCATTTAACCTTGTTTGCAACCAACTATATCTAACTTCAGTTGTTGTATTCTAGGTCCATTCACAACTGAAAATCTTTTGTTTATGTCGTCCCACATTTGTTTCCTAGTTTCTGTATAAGATATAATGGAACACTATACATGTTCAATCGTGTTCAGTAATTATGAAAAATCATGGATTGCACTGTCCACCAATCTTGCACACCAGACGAGTTTTCATATGGTGTTGTCAAATTTCCTTCGATGAGTCCTCACTTTTTTACGCGTGCAAAGAAATTTTCACAACACGTGCCCATTCGTCATAGTTTTTGTCTCGAAGTTGAACATGAGTTATCACATTTCGTGGGTTGTCCTTGTTGTTTAAGTCATAGGGAGACACCTTTTTGCTTCCTTGACTCGAATAGATTTTCTTTTTATTTTTTTCTTTGTCTGTCAAATCCGAGTGTTTCTCAAAATCTGACAATTTTTTTCAATCTTCACTCTGATGGGCAGAGCTCTTGTACCATAAAAAGTTATGTTTTGCAAAGGAACACAATCATATTGTTACTTTTCAGCAGGATAACTAGTATATGTAAAACTAATTTTTCTAAAACTGTACTAACAAATCCCTATGATTAGTTGTATATTAAAACTGCCAACTATGTTAATTAACTGAAATTAAATCCAATCATTTAAATTAATGCAATTAGACATTTCAACCTATACAATTGGAATGCTCTAAGTTAGTATTCTCATTAAACTAACAACGTAAAACAATATTACACATGCAATCAATCAAAATTTTTAAATTTGTTATGTCATATAAATATTTTTTTTGTCATATAAGTATTTTTTTTGTCATATAAATATTTTAAAAATAAAAATGTAATTTAACGGGATACACATCCCTCAATTACAAAGTATACATGAAGATATAAAAATATTTTACGAAATTCTATTTTCGCAATTTTTATATACAAATGAAACATCTACAATAAAAGGAATAAAGTAGTATTAACATTTTGCCTATAAAAAATGACAAGTTATCCCTTTATGTCCATTATAAAATCCTCTCATTTATTTCCGTGATCTCAAGATCTAACGGCCTAGACCTAAGTTCCATGGAAGCACCCTTTTTTTAGTAGTGCATGGAAAATGAAGCCTTAAAAAAGGGTAGAGTTATCGGGTACCCGACCCATAAATTCCAAAACACATACCCGAAGGAGTCGCAAACAGTGTCTTGCTCTAAAATCTAAAACCCTATAATCACTGAACCCTCATTCTACCCAACACCAATCTCTTCAACCAGTCTCCGCAAGGTACCGATTCCATTTCTGTTTCTTTCAAGCGTTTTGCATTTATCCATTTCGATCTTATTAATGAATTATTGTTGTTGTTCAATTTCTATTACCCTAATTATGTTTCACGCTTTTGATTTTTGTTCATGCTAACTAGTAGTGTTGATTTGATAGATGAATTTCAACAACGTGAAGATCCCAAAGGTTCCTGGTAGTGGAATCGCTGCTTTGCTTAAAGTTAGCATTATTGGTGGACTCGCTGTATATGGGGCTACAAACACCTTGTATAATGTTGAGGGTGGTCATCGAGCTATTGTCTTTAACCGTCTTGTTGGTGTCAAAGATAAGGTTTTCCATTTTCCTTCACTGTAAAACCAAAAAATCTGCTGTGTCTGTTGCTTGATGTTTTACTTTGTTTAGGTTTTTGTGTAGTATATACGGCTGTTAGTTGATAAGATTTTTAGGTTTTAGGTTATGATTCACTAACAATCTTTCTATAAGCATGTAGCAAAAATGCCTGAGTCAAAATGTTCCAAAAACCTGCATAGTTTTATGATTAGATCTATGTTGACCAGCAACCTAGTATTTCAATATGACCATATAGTATGTCTTTTTTATATGCAGGTCTATCCTGAAGGAACACATATTATGATCCCGTGGTTTGAGAGGCCTGTGATCTATGATGTTCGTGCACGACCTCACTTAGTGGAGAGCACTTCAGGAAGTCGGGATCTTCAAATGGTAACTTGTTCTATTTGTCCTGCTTTTTTTTTTTGTTTCTAGTTCATAAGATTTGATATGTGCTTTTTTTTTGCCTGAACTAAACCACCAATTCTCAACTCTCAAGTTATTAAGTCATTTCATTTCAACCATTTTCCTTCCAATGTTGTGCACTTTGCTCGTCCCCCTTGTATTTGAACTATTACGAATTTACCATCTATGAACATGAAATTCTAGATTTATGTAAAAATATCAAAAATGATTTAGTATCTGCAAGTGTTTTCCATTCTAACTCTATTACTTTACTGTACAAAAGTTCTTTTATCCCCATATTTTTCTTGGGCACAATACTTGACCATAAGCCGTATTTTACATTTCCATGTGATTTATATTAGCTATGAATCTTTTATTTTGCCAGGTGAAAATTGGACTTAGGGTTCTTACTCGTCCTGTGCCAGACCAATTACCAACAGTTTATCGAACTCTGGGCGAGAATTATAATGAAAGGGTCTTGCCTTCTATTATACATGAAACTCTCAAATCTGTGGTTGCACAGTACAATGCCAGCCAGCTCATTACTCAGAGAGAGGTAACTTTTTCCTTAGATTCTCTCTCGTCTTCTGTTCAACTAGTAACTTGATTAATTGTGTCTATGCCTCTTTACTTAGTTGGAATTTATATTCTTAGAAACAAAATAAATTCACCATTCACTATATTAAAAGGGAATCACAACCATATGGGTGAGACTGATTATTTCTAAAATGATCCAATTTATAGGCTGTTAGTCGTGAAATAAGGAAGATACTGACTGAAAGGGCCTCCCAATTCAACATTGCATTGGATGATGTGTCAATCACAAGTTTGACGTTTGGGAGGGAATTCACAGCTGCAATTGAAGCCAAGCAGGTTGCTGCTCAAGAAGCCGAGAGAGCTAAATTTGTTGTAGAAAAAGCTGAACAAGACAAAAGAAGTGCTGTTATTAGAGCACAGGTAAAATACTTTTCCCATTCCCAATTATACTATGGTTTGTTACTTTCTAAACATTGTTGTCGTGCTTATTTTTTGAAACTGCTACCAAATAATGCAAAATAAAATTAACAAATGAGAAGATCACTGGGTATTTGTTGATCCTCTTGTTCGAGTGAACATACGAAAGTTATCATGCAAGGAAATTAAATTTGGCGACTGGTGATGTATGGATAAGTTATCATGCAAGGAAATTAAATTTGGCGACTGGTGATGTATGGATAAGTTATCAAGCAAGGAAATTAAATACCCTTCAACATGATCCTATTGAACTTTTTTTTCTTCTCAAAACCCAATACATATCATATAAACTACTTTTCGAATTCTCATTTCTTTATTGTTATTTCTTTTTGACAAACAGGGAGAAGCCAAGAGTGCTCAATTGATTGGTCAAGCTATTTCCAACAACCCTGCATTTATAACCTTAAGGAAAATTGAAGCTGCTAGGGAAATTGCCCAAACAATTTCGAATTCTGCCAACAAGGTTTTCTTGAATTCAGATGATCTCTTGCTGAATCTTCAGGATTTAAATTTGGAGCCCAGTGGGAAGAAATAGTTATGTTGCCGAGTTCACTTGTTTCAGTAACTTTTTTCTTGTATTACAATTCATTTTGAACTGTATTCTATTAACTCATCACATGAAATTTAGCTTTGCAAACTAAGTTATGGACAAACTGATTGTCATTATCTTTTCAATGGAACATATGAGAGATAAGGGAATCAAATCTCTATCTTTGTCAACATGACCTCAATTGCTTCTTTCTTAAAGTATAATAGTAATAAATTGCTCTGAAAGTTAAACAGAGAACAATGTGCCGGAAATATTAAACTAGGTTGGTTTTGATTCTCTATTGAGAATTCAAGACAAATAATCCTTGATTTGCAGGACCTATTGGAGGGGATTGTGTTCAATGTCTAAGTTGAATATCTGTCATATAATGTACTTTTTGGCAACGTCTAAGGTAAATAACTGTAATATTACTGTGGAATAATTATTGAAACTCTAACAAATACCCGACGATTCTTTAAAATGAAAGGAGAAAAGCAGCAGCAACCAATATAAAATCATATTATTTCTCGCTCTCAATTTAAACTTGTTAGGAACCAAAATTAATAGAAAGTGAGATTTGAATTATTGATTGAAAAAGGAAAATGTTTAATAGGAAAAACTTTAATTTCTTAGCAAAATTCTTTGGAGAATATATGATTCTTTCTCTGTAACCCTAAGGTTCTCCGTGAACAATCGAAGAACTGTTCCTTTTTTCATGCCTTTGGATGCTCTTATAATTGAAATTGATTAAATGTCTCACCGCTCACTATCTATCATTTCCTATATATAATAATGCTGCTCGTTGTATTACAAACTTGTTCCCAAGTCTGATTTTAGGAATATGACTCTCTAAATAGACTTCATCTTTCCCATTTGCATTTTCTCCTGATATGTGTTTCTATTGTATTATAAGTTTCCTTGATCGAACAGGGCAAGGGTCTTGTCGCAGTTGAAAATGGCTTCATCTCAGTGTTACTAGTTTATTGTATATTGACTGACATATGCAAGTTGTTGACAAACCTGGTACTAGATCAAATATTGTGTTTTCTGCATAATTGGTTGCCAAAAAATAGTATGTCAACAGAAAAATACTGTGCGTTTTCTCTCCTAATTAGGTTTAGATATCTATAAAGCTCACAAAATATCTTTTTAACCTTACATTCTCTAGAATCTTCCCTCCTATTAATACGTGGCAGACTTGTTTGGTGTGCACATGTTTTTAGCCTGCACATAGATAAACCTATTCTCCGCATCCCCACGACCCACGAATAACCCTTCACTGGATTTGGTTATCGTGCAAATCATTGTCGCTCTGTGGACTTTAGTGGCAGTGTAGGAATGATCATACTTTTGGTGAGGAGTGGAGGTTCCACAACAACATCCCGAGTTGGTTGGATCTTGCAAGCATCTACATGTTGACTTTTGACGGACAATTGTGCAGGCATCCAAATAATGCGTTTTTCGGATCCCCTAACTACCAAATTAAAATTTTTGTTTGATAGATCTGACTCATGTAGATGATCGATCGTACTTGTCTAAGGCTGTTGGAATTATATTAATTAGAGTGGGAATTGGAAAGATTTATTGACAATCAATGGGCAATAAATGAACACAAGTAAGAACTAATATAGAAGTGAATTTGAAAAGATTCATTTTAGTCCCACATTGAAGGGAATGGAAATATTAGTAGTGTTTATATATTCCAACTTGGTCAATTGGGTTGGGCCCTAAAGGACACCCAATTTTGTGAAGGAGTGAAGACACACCCATGACCATCAAGACACACACGTGCGCGCGCCGCCGCCGCAGATTGGAACACCTTATCGGATAGCCGAAACCTATACCAGGAACATAGTGATGCAGATTAGAACACCTTATCGGATAGTCGAAACCTATACCAGGAACATAGTGATGCAGATTAGAACACCTTATCGGATAGTCGAAACCTAGCCGAAACCTATACCAGCAGTGATCCATCTATACTCTGTATGAGATCCACCAGCAGTGATCCATCTATACTCTGTATGAGATCCACTACGCTGAAGTAATGAGAGGTCAGTGATCCACTGCGCTGAAGTAATGAGAGGATGAGATAATAGAAACTCTTAATGAGATCTATACTCTGTATGAGATCCACTGAGATCCACTACGCTGAAGTAATGAGAGGTTCCTTATCGGATATAGCCGAAACCTATACCAGCTGTGATCCACTGCGCTGAAGTAATGGGAGGATGAGATAATAGAAACTCTTAATGAGATCTATACTCTGTATGAGGGAGTACCTAGGCTACAGGAGTACTCTTGATAGATTCACCTATGTGACAAAGCAATTAGTTACTCATGATGGTAACCCGACCTAAATGACTGGAGATCCCAAGACGTAAGGTTCCTTATCGGATATAGCCGAAACCTATACCAGCTGTGATCCACTGCGCTGAAGTAATGAGAGGATGAGATAATAGAAACTCTTAATGAGATCTATACTCTGTATGAGATCCACTGAGATCCACTACGCTGAAGTAATGAGAGGTTCCTTATCGGATATAGCCGAAACCTATACCAGCTGTGATCCACTGCGCTGAAGTAATGGGAGGATGAGATAATAGAAACTCTTAATGAGATCTATACTCTGTATGAGGGAGTACCTAGGCTACAGGAGTACTCTTGATAGATTCACCTATGTGACAAAGCAATTAGTTACTCATGATGGTAACCCGACCTAAATGACTGGAGATCCCAAGACGTAAGTTCAATGGGTAATAACAAGTTGTGAGTAATATGAAAATGATCATGCAAGTAAAGCATGAATCCTGAAGTAATGAGAGGATGAGATAATAGAAACTCTTAATGAGATCTATACTCTGTATATTCCTATCCTGAAGTAATGAGAGGATGAGATAATAGAAACTCTTAATGAGATCTATACTCTGTATGAGGGAGTACCTAGGCTACAGGAGTACTCTTGATAGATTCACCTATATGATTGTGGAACTGAGGCCGGTTCCTATGGAATTTCGAGGCAAAATTCCTAGAGCATTCACTAAACCGGGATACACGTGCAGGGCCACTAAAGCACGGGCTACAAGAATACACCTTACAGAAAGGTTGTGTGCGAGTCTGATGTCCGAGATAGAGTTCAAGACAATGGTGTCACTCTTGTTGAATCAGAATCCTACTCGATACGCTAAGGTTCAAGTCATAGACACCTTTGCTTATGCTCAATCTTAGAAACGTCTGACGTACTTCTAAAATCTCTTTTAAATTCAAGTGGGGGGAATTTTGGAATTATATTAATTAGAGGGGAATTGAAAAGATTTATTGACAATTAATGGGCAATAAATGAACACAAGTAAGAACTAATATAGAAGTGAATTTGAAAAGATTCATTTTAGTCCCACATTTAAGGGAATAGAAATATTAGTAGTGTTTATATATTCCAACTTGGTCAATTGGGTTGGGCCCTAAAGGGCATCCAATTTTGTGAAAGGAGTGAGGACACACCCATGACCATCAAGACACGCGCCGCCGCCGTCCGTCCGGCCGACTCGGCTCGGTTCGGTCTAGATGAATTATTTTTTGGACCCGAATTTATAGAATTTAATTATCATTAATTAATTAATATAATTAGGTGGAAAAATAATTAATAATAAATATTAATTAATTAAGAAAATAATTGGTCAGTAACTGGCATATTGACTAGATCCAGTATTTTCCCATTCTCCCACGATTTTTTCCATTCACCACGAATTTCTCCCTACTCAGCCTTACTAGCTGCCTATAAATACAGGGTAGAAGTTCAGTAGTGATGTAGCGGATTTCAAAAAAGTTCACACGAATTTTGATTTCCATCTTCTCTCCCTTAATTCTCTTCGTCTATAAATCCTTCTTTTCTTATTTTTTCGACTGACTATTTTCGCTAGATACTGTGACTTAGAAAGGTGTATTTCTAGAGCGATTTATCAATCGTACGTTATTGAACGGGCTGTTTTATCCTGGAGACGTCGTCGTAAATCGACTGCTTTGCATATTTTGGCAGTACGGCGAAACGTTTTAAAGAAAGCGACCTAGTACGCGACTCATCCCGATAATTTCTTTGTGCCAAACTCAATTTTTCAAATCCGAAAACAACAAAGGCTTTATCATCAAACACTTTCCCTGACTTCTCTATACTCTTTTCTAACTCTGGGATGTTCGGAAGGAGAGTTATTTCCTTGGATCACTTCACCTTCATCTATTGAGAGCGGATTTTGGCAATTGCGACCTTAAACCTTTTCTAGCGGTTTGTTTGTTGGTATTGTCTTTCACTATAACAACTACTTTGTATTTATCATCTTATTTGAATCTTATGAATAGAGCCATAAATAATGACTCCCAATTTGCATCCAGGTTCTCTTGGCACCAATATTAAAACTATATCACGACTTCTCCTTTCATCTTTATGAACCCCCATTGCATTTTATCAGATGAATGAATTTTTTGCATTTGGAAAAACCTTTCTTCTATCACAATCCATTTAAAGGGGCCTTCACCCACAAATTATGAAAGCCCTTCATTCACAAATCAATCTTATGATTGTTCCATCTTAAACACCGTCACTCCGTTGATAATTCGCTAAATTAAAAAGGAAAATGAGAAAGTAATGTTGATTAAAAAAGGAAAATATTACATAGGATAAGTTGTTAAAACTACTTATAATATATATAAAATATTTAATTTAATTTTATAGACTTGTGTATATGGGTGAAAAATTCATAGACTTGTGTCAATTAGTTTTATATATTATAAGTAGTTTTATAAACATTTTTCTTTTTTATAAAACTAATAATATATGAAAAATTCCGTACCGAATCAAAGGGAGTTCTAAAGGGGATGACGTCCCCCTTTAACTCTTTAAGGGAGGCTCCAAAGAGGATGACGCCCCCTTATAAATTATAGGGTGCCTCCAAATGGGATGACCCCCTATAATTTATAAGGGTGACTCCATCAGCAATGGAGCCCCCTTGTAAATTAAAAAAAAAAATCCTAAAAGTTGGTTAGATTGAAAAATATGAAGAAATGTTTGGTATATTGGAATTATAGGGGTCAAATCTTGGGTATATGGGTGAAAAATTTCAAGTCTATAGATAAACATCGGTCAATATCATAAATGTTTGTCAAATAAGATATTTCACAGTTAGTTTGAAGCTTCCATGTAGAGAAGCAAACTATGGTGGAGGAGTTGTTCTTCTGGAATGGAAGCAACAACCCAAATCCACTTCAACAATTTCAACATAACAACATTAATCTACTTCTTCTCTCTGGTCCTCCTTCTTCGTAATACACTTTCTCTGCCTACAATTTTACTTGTTTCATTTCTTCTTCTTCTTCTTCTAATTAATAATCAATTTTCTACACAGCGGAAAGACTTCACTTCTTTTCCAATTTGCATTCAATGTAGCAGCAGCACTTCACTCTAACTCTTCCAACCCAAATGTTGTCTTCATCTGTAACCAAAACAGATTGGATTCCAAACCCCCTTTTCTTTCTCAGGGAATTGACCCATCTTCGAATATCTTCCGACGTATACAAATGAAGTATATACTATATACCATAACCCTTTTTTGTTATCTTTCATTAGTCATCACCAGTTATATATTTATGCTAATTTAATTATTTTTTGATTGTTTGAGGTAGATATGTGAATGATGATGAAGATATTAGGAAATACTTTGCTGCCTTCCATCTGTTTGATAAATTGCCTGATGCAGTTATTATTGATGATTTTGGAGATTTCTTTGACAACAAGTAATTAATTTGGTTTTAAAATATCATAAATTCAATAAGTGTCTTTTGTTTGTTTTCTAATTCATCTTCTGATTTTGGACTTGGATATGTAAAGGGTATGTCAACAACGGTATTCAAATGCCCGCGGGCGAGACTTGGCCATGATCAAGAGTCTAGCCTTGTGCAACAATGCTATTAGCTATGCAAAGTGAGTGTTCGATGATTACTGTTGTTCAGGAATTCTTGATTGTTTTCAGCTGTTTAACTCTTACTAATACGCGTAGTGATAAGGTTTAGTTGGACTTTCTGTATTCTTTTGCAGTCAAAAAGGGTCTTGCAAGCTTCTCTTGTCGGATACTCATACTCATCAGGGTGACTCTCCAAGGTTTCATTTCATCTATAAGAAATGGATACACACCACTTTCACAATTAAAGGTTGCCTCCATTTGTCCATGACACATGTTTTGCACATAAGTTCGATTATGTTTTACTATTTTATCATATGTCATAACGTTAATTTGTTTAAACCTGTTTAAAGTAGTGAAATATGATCAGATGTATGGTGCATACAAGTTACGTTTTTGGTTGTTGTTAATTGTCTTGCAGAAGGGGATATATCTGGATCATTTATTTTGGAAGGGAGGAGCTATTCACGAACCGATACCACAGGTACTGGTAATATGAAAGCTGCAAAGTATTCTATAGCTCTTCAATATCTGGTCTTTGAAGGACTTGTCAATGATCATGTATACAAATCTACCTCTTCAATGAGCAGAACTGATTGATACCTATAATAATTGTATCATATCACTTAGCATATATTCTCTTGTTCCATTCATTAACTATACTCAATCATATAATGAACTTTAGTTCTGCATGCTTCATCAGTGAAGCCACATGAATCTCAGGTTTCAATTAGGTCTTTTAAATGAATTTGAACTCTAAAATTTATACCTTAACCACATTCCTCAAGTTTTGATTCAAAGTTCAAGTTGATATGACACCAAGTAAGTAAAAGGTGGCAATTCTAGTGCTTAAGCCGTAGTGAACTAGTAAACGGATTAGCGTTTATGATTAAGTGTATGTTTGGTTTTGATTTGGAAAGCCCCACACTTTTATTTAGCACCAAAAGTTTGGAGATTTTCCAGTTGATTCAAAATTTGATAACCAGCACAAAATGGGTTTCGTGACATGAGTTACTATGAAGATTAGAACAGCATGAACAAGTGCGTCATGCTGCTGGTCTTTACTATTACACTGCTAATTGATGACAATGCTTGTAATTGCCTTATTGCTGGTGTATACTTTTGTAGAGATGTAATTTTTTCAAATACAAAGGAGAGTTTCTTAATGCACTTTATGTGTTTCAAGAGAGTGTGGATTTCCACTTATACCTTTTCGTTTCTGAAGATATATCTTCGGACGCATTTATTTTACACTCAAGGAAGGTCATTTTGAGTGGCGCCTCATATATTGGTTTGATTAATTTCGGAGATGTATCTCCGGAACCATACCGTAGTTATATATCCGAAAAACACCAGACACAAATTCAACACAAAATAAACATTCCAAACATAAAATGAGCATTCATAACATAAAATGAGCATTACAATGATGATTTCAACAGAAAATTAAATATTACATTTCAATAATCCGGTGTGCGTTTGTACATCTCAAGGATATCTTCGACCGGTACTTGTACCGTCGCTTTCAACTCGAGTGGAACTTTCTCTTGGAAATCGAAATACATTCGCCACATGGACATAACACCCGCTCGAGTCTTGAGCTCAAATTTGCTGAACACAATGTTCCATTCATTGCTAACAGAAGGTGAACGGTACTCGATCTTCACAAGCCTTCGTTTGTCTCCGTATGGTAAGAGATAATGGATTTCGTCAATGATATCGGCGAGGGAGGTGAGATCGGTGAGCTTAAACGTCCTCCCAGGTGTAGAGTGGACGGAGTAGGAGACACTTGCGATATACCAACGAATATTTATATCACACATTTGAGACATTTTGAGTTTGTGTGAAATATAACACAAGAACATCTAAATTTATAGAAGACCTAGTTCAATATGGACCACTCATTGACTGTCATTCTTATTCCGAATATATATCTCTGAAACGAAACCCTATTATCTTGTTTCAGAGATGCATCTCCGGAAATTTCCCTGAACCATTTAAAAAAAACCAAATAATAGAACGATCCGGAGATGTATCTCTGGAACGTTTTCTGATACATTTTCAAAACAAAATCAAATGACAGAGAGTTCACAAAGAGCAATATGCACCAAATATGAACCAAATATGCATAAATACCAAATATGAATAATAAGTGAATATGTAACATTTAATTTATATTGAGACATAATTATATACAATTATTTGTTCGATTACACAAGAAATCAAAACGAATCAAAACATGTGTCGCTGACTAAATCTATAGGTGGTACTCTCTTGGCCTTTTGTGCATTCGATTCCTTTTCAATGTTGTTTAATCTATCAAATTATTGCATCCTTTTCATAAAATGATCCAGCCATGTCTTGGTATTTGCGGTTGAATGAGTCGTCTATTTCGGTGATGTAAGTGGTATGCTGCATCCCGGTTTCAAGTAAACTTGAACAAAATGACTTGATTTTGAAATCCATCCAATACACATGATGCGATCATTTGATTATTTTTGGGAGGGGGTGCCATCCGTAGTGGAAAAAGATTTTCGAAAACCCGTAGTGCGTCAGGTCAATGCACACCCTATCATATGCACAAGCTATTAGATGACCCATATCAGAGAAGGTCATCTATTTTGTCTCTGGTGCCAGACCGCTCAAACAAGGAATAAGAGACTCATAACTGCATTGTATTTTTTTTTAGTTCCGTACAACCGTGTGTACAATTCTTTATGCGTCTTCAACTCTTGGATAAGTTGATGAAGAACAAGCGCATAACTATCTTCTCCTTTATCGAGTAAAGCTAAAATGGCTCGATAACCGCAATTACCGACCCCCTCAACATTGACGATATACTCGACATATTTGTGCATAAAAACTGACATATCGTCGATGAATGAAATCTTGAATGGAAGCGGCGTCAGAGGTGGTTTTATAATGCGACTTCTTTCACAACATTTTTTTGAGATTTTGGAGTCGGTAAGTCGGGAAAAAGTTTGTCAACGTGTTTAAAATATGAAGGAGACTGTGTAGTTGAGTTGTCATTCGGTCCCGACTTCATTTTCTTCGGAGCACCTCTTGTTTTTACCGGTCGAGAAGGCGATTTCATGTCGGTAGTTTTGGGATACGCAATCTTCCTCAATTGTTCTTTGATGTGGAGTTTCATGTTGTCATTGGACTTCGAAAATCTCTCTTGTATCGCTTCCCATTCGGTCAAAATAGAGATACTCGATTTACTTTCATGCATGCATCCATTATCATCAAAACTAAGTCTCTTCTAGTGAGAGCAAACCTCGTTCATTCTTATTGGTTCACCAAGTTTCACATTTTTTGTACATCTTGTTTGGGCTACTGGATTTATGTTCTTAATCTCATGGCACGGATATTGGCAGGAATTGATTGAAACTTTAGCATGGGCTCATGAACGCACACCTTTGGCGAATTTGATTCGATGGAGAGATAAACCTGTGGCTCTTTCGATTGTCCAAGTAAGATTGGTTGGATTAGTCCACTTTTCGGTAGGTTATATATTTACTTATGCAACATATGTTTTCACAATAGTGCACCCACACTTTACATTATCGGAGCTTACATTATTAGCTTATTTGGCCTCGTGAAAAGTATAGTTCAAACCCGAACGAGAAATCTTACCCACCAACTGAGAATAAAGATTGTTGTCTTTAAATCTGTGTTTCAAAACTGTGATGCTCCGACCAAATGTTGTTTGTATCTCATTATGTTGGTTTTGAATCATGTGTTTCACAGAGTCCCAGTCTCGACACAAATTCCCCTTGTTATTTTCCAACCAAATTTTCAAGGTAGCATGGGACGACTCAACTCTGTTGGTGGTTGTATTTTCAAGGTGTCGAACATTATCAGTTCACGCGCAAACTATCTTTTCCTTCACCTGATCAAGAATGATGCTTTCAACATATTTCAACAAAGCCGAATACTTTTCACACACTTTTCGCAAATGAATAACAGAATCAACATATAATTCTTTTGTGGAAGAATTTATTATGGGATTCAATGTATCCATTATTTTCTCCACAATCACACTCGACTTCACCAATTTTCCACCATTGTGCTCTACTTGTTTCGTCCCTACCGCAGGTTTAATCCGACTTCTCACATTCTTTGTTATGTGATACTTACAAAGTAATGCATAAGAAGAAGGAAATACCTTTACATGAGGGATTGTTCTCAAAGTGACATATGAGATAAAAAAAGTTAGTTGTATACATCGCTATCGAGTATTGTTCAATTTGATAAGGTATAAAATATATTTAGATACGCATGTAAATTTGAAATGAGTTACTTAATTGTAAAATGAACAATTATAAAATAAAGATGATCATATAAACTCAATTATATTAAACATACGTACAAAAATAAAAATAAAAAGCTCTGTGATGGAGAAAGAAAAAGAAAATTTTGACATTTGAAAATAAATATTTTATCTCTCAAATAAATGTAGTTGTTGATTAAAATAAAATAAGTATTGTTCTCATAGTGACACATGAGATAAAAAGTTAGATGTCTACATCGCTATCAAGTATTATTCAATTTGATAAGGTATAAAATATATTTAGATATTCATGTTGTCACCGGCCTTCAAAAATCTCTCTTGTATCGCTTCCTATTCGGTCAAAATAGAGATACTCGATTTATTTTCATGCATGCATTCATTATCATCAAAATTAAGTCTCTTTCAATGAGAGCAAACCTCGTCCATTCTTATTGGTTCATCGAGTTTCACATTTTTTGCAATAAGACAAGCACATGGGAGACCATATGTTTTCACAATAGTGCAACCACATTTTACGTTATCGGATCTTACATTATTAGCTCGTTTGGCCTCATGACAAATATAGTTCAAACCCGCCCGAGAAATGTTACCCACCAACTGAGAATAAAGATTGTTGTCTTTAAATCTGTGCTCTAAAACCGTGATGCTCCAACCAAATAATGTTTGTATCTCATTGTGTTGGTTTTGAATCATGTGGTTCATGGAGTCCCAGTCTCGACACAAATTCCCCTCTCTATTTCCCAACCAAATTTTCAAGGTAGCATGAGCCGAATCAACTCTGTTGGTGATTGTATTTCCAAGGTGTCAGACATTATTAGTCCACGCACAAACTATCTTTTTCTTCACCTGATCAAGAATGGTGCTTTCTACATGTTTTAACAAAGTCGGATACTTTTCGAACACTTTTCAGAAACAAATGACGAAATCGGCATATGATTCTTTTATGGAAGAATTTATTATGCAATTCCATGCATCCATTATTTTCTCCACAATCACACCCGACTTCACCAATTTTCCACCATCAGACTCTACTTGTTTCGTGCCTACCACAGTTTTAACCCGATTTCTCACATTCTTTGTTATGTGATACTTACAAAGTAATGCATTAGAAGAAGAAAATACCTTTGCATGTGAGATTGTTCTCATAGTGACATATGAGATAAAAAGTTAGTTGTATATATCGCTATCGAGTATTACTCAATTTGATAAGGTATAAAATATATTTAGATATGCATGTAATATTGAAATGAGTTACTTAATTGTAAAATGAACAATTGTAAAATAAAAATGATCATATAAATTAAAT